TTTTTTTTTTTTTTTTTTTGCCTTTTGTCTTTTTCCGTGTCCGGCAACGGATCGCAACCCTCAGTGTTGCCCCCGTACCGGACCGGGGACCAGCAACGGGATTGCAACCCTCGGTGTTGCCCCCGCGCCTCGCTCAGCCAGTGAGCGGGAACCGGTCTGTACGTGGGATCCGAACCCTCGGGTGGGAGCGCCACCGCGCTTCCCAAGCGGCGCACTATCCAGTGCGCCACCGGGCCGGCCCTAATTTGGATTTTTTTTCTTTCGAACACTATTTGTCCCCTAGAAAAAATTATTCCCAAATAAGTAGGACTAGAAACACCTGCTTCTCTTACCTTTACTTACTGACAGGAGAAGATTTGGATCTCTTGGGTGGAATTTCAGCTCATTGATAGCATTTCCATGGCCAACATAGTGCTACAATAAATTTAAAACATTTAAAACATTTCAAGCTTCATATCCCCAAATCAATAAATTCTCTTCAACAAATCTTAAGGGAATGGAAAAATAGTTTCACGTAAAGTAGTGGTTCTCAACCTTGGCTGCATATTAAAATCACCCAACAAACATGAAGAAAAAAAAAGATGCTGAAGTCCCACCTGCAGATATTCTGATTTGCTTGGATTAGCAGAGGCTCAGGTATGGGTAGTGTTTAAAAGACCCTCAGGTGATTCCAATGTACCCCCGGGGTTAAAAACAGCTGATTAAAGTGATGTGTAAAACTTGTCTTCATAACAACTTCCCAGCCTTCACCATTCAGTTCATTACAAGGTGCTCTTAACTCTACACCCCCCAGTTTGGGAGTTTTAGAAAATGAACTCACTCTTCAGTTATTGTTCCTTTAGAGACTCCCAAAGCAAACCAAAGCAAACCAAAGCAAGGCAAGGTCGAAGGAGGGAAATGATTTAAAAAGAAAACACTGCAAATATTAACATTTTCCCACTTATTCCTTAATTTACATTACCCAAATATGACGAAAGTCAAAAGACTTATCTAAAGAAAGTGATAAGCAAAGTACAAAACAAATCAGAAATTTTACAGTCATCAATTCCATTAGTTTCAAATTCAATATGACAACTTTTCACAGGTGTACATTCAAAAGAAGATCTACAATTTAACCAGAAAACCCACCTTTATACACTGCATTGTTATGGGATTAATTATCCTAATTATGCCTCTAGATCCAGCTACAGCTAGCAGAGGATGGCTTGTATTGCTATCATACGTCCACGCACAAGTGTAAAAGTTTTCATCAGCCTAGGATGCCATAGTTAAGAATTATTGTTTTTGAAAAATAATTATGTCAATGATTAAAATTCACAGAAACCTCCAAAGAATTGCTAAATTTCTTAGTTTTCTTTATACAACCACATATATACAATGATTTTAGGTGTAAAATCCACGCCAAATAATCAAACAAAACCAGTCCCTCCAATCTATTTTGTTTGTTATTTGTTTGTATAACTTCTCAACTCTATCACTGTAATGCCAAAACAGCCACAGACAATATGTAAACAAATAGAGAAGGCTGTGTTCCGATAAACTATGTAAAAAACAAACCAAAAACCCCAAAAGGTGGCCAGTACACAGGATGTAGATTGCTAACAACTCCTCTATTCCTATATTTCTGACTATAAATACCTAAATAAAAATGAATGACTACTCAGTTTTCCATCATATTTTTGCATGAGAGCTTCCCAATATGGCAACAGGTCACTTCTTTCCTTATCATCTAGAGAAGACAATGTCTTTGCCTTGTCTTGCTTACTAAGTTTTTCAAATGGATCTGGAAGAAATATCTTAGCAGCTTTAGCTGCTCTAACCCCTTGGCTTTTTGAATTTTTCCTTTTCTTTATGAACCCATGTTTTGCAATATTTTATTTCCTAAACTGCACGTTTAATTTTTCCCTCTAGGCTTTGTTCATTGAGTACTCGGAATGACTGCCCGACTGCCTGTCACAGCTTCAGAGCTTCCGATTAACTCAAGTTCATCATTATAATGCCAAGGAAATGATAAAATCCTAGGCAAAGTCAAAGAAACAGAAGGGTTTAGCTAGTCTCTGCTAACATTTTCTATTACTGGATTTCTAATGCTCATCTCTCTAGCCACTTGCACCCACCACCACGTTCACCCCACAATAGATTTCTAAAACTGGGGAAAACTAGATACCAGGATTCTCTTGGGTGGTAGTGATAGTGAAGGAATAGCACTGGCTAAAGTTAAGAAAGGACAATAACTTCAGGAAATCAATTTAGGATAGTCATGGTGTACTTATTGAAAATAAATTTCTTTGACCAAAGATATCAAAAACCCAGGAAAGGATACATCAGCATCCACATAAGATTGCAACAACCGGATTTCTCCTTGTGAATGACATTCATATAAGGTAACCTAATGGAAACAAAAATACAGTATATTTCATCAGGTATCGAAACATATTCTCTTCAGCTTTTAAACATGTTTTAAGATATAATTATATCTTAAAGATACTACAGAAACTATTGCTTTAAAATAGCTCCTTTCAATTTAAAGAAACCATTATAAAGTCCATGTTTTATATAATATCCAGATATTATAAATACTGTAGTAATAACAGTTTCTATTTCCAATCTTGTAAACTTATATATTTCATCCACATAATTGCACCAACTCTTCAAAATGAATAATGCTGAAACCCCAAAGGAATTGTGGTTTATCACCCTTTAATTAAATTCATTATAAAAAAGTTTTGGGGTAGTTTTAAATCACTTAGGTTTTAGTTACACATTTAAAAATTCTACAATTTGTCTAATAATGAATTATTTTCACGGATATGGCTAATCAAACGTTAACTTTCCTCTGTATAGTGGCCCTTTCCTCTAATATTCTCACAATATTCTTTATAAGGCTGCTAACTAGGTGACGTTTTCCTTTTTCTTCCCTTTAAAGAAATACTAAGAGCAGGTCTTTTTATAATTCAATAAACTATATAACACCCTTCAATATCATTTTAAATGAGAATACGGATTCTTTTCTTGGCCTAGAACACTGCAATAAGCATTACATTGCTTATAATGCACAATTTGTACAATAAGCATAGATTATACCAATGCTGGTACTACCACGGCTAAATGGTGATGTATTATCACAGGTTTACAGTAATGTCTTAAAAGTGGATTCAGAATTAATTAATGGGCTACGTTCCCAACTACAAAAAAACCCTCAAAATTTTCTTGAAACTACACCACGTTTCCTGTGAATTGTTGTTTCAAAGAATTTAGAAACTAAACTATAAGCAGGCTACATATCACACAACCTATGTTTGGCTGAACATCAAAAAAACCTTGCTGTCCTCTGTTATAAACACCAATGTTAACTTTCAAATACTCAGAACTTCAATAACTTTGTCAAATAGTAAAAGCACCAGAGCCTAAAATGTAATTAAAACTTTCTTAAAAGAGTGCCCAGGAAAAACTACATAAAGCTAAATTTGACTATTTAGAAAACACGAATAGAAAGGTCTAGCCCAGAGTGAATGGATATGCATTCCTACGATTCTCAAACTTTTAGAAAAGAAAAAAAGCTTGGAAATATACAAACATTTAAAAAATACTGAAAGTTAATTTTGACTGAGAACAGAATAGGAACAGTATGAAACAGAAATAAATACAGGAAACTAGTAGTGTGCATTAAAAATCATGCATTTCTCTAAAAATCTTAGCACAATTACTTAAGAAGCATAAAATATTATTTTACTCAAAGTAATTGATGGAACATCTCAGATTCACCTGTTTCCCCTGTATGTTGAGCGTAGAGGAAGTGACTTTTATCATCAACTCATATCCAATTAGTCTATTTCCTCCATATTTCTTTCTCTGAATATACCAACCTATTTCTATGCTGTTACTCTTAACTCCTAGAACAGTACTAAACAGATTACTAGAATGTTAGCTAATAAAGACTTAAGAGGACAATTTTTCCCTGAAGTAATTTTAACTTTTAACAGAATACTCTCCAAATTCCCTAAAAAGCACTAGGGAATCTTCCTATTCTCCACTCATTTAGAAGTGAATGAAATGAATTAACAAATCTTTGCAATCCACCTGTTCAGCACCTCATTTAACTAAAAAGTTAAATAATGGTTTATGTTAAATGTGCCAGCATGGTTCTCTCCACCCATTTCTCTCAGTTCAAGACACTTCTGACTTCCTTAAAAGCAAACTCAAACAAATGTTTATTGCAAATAATTAAAATATTTTCAATAACTATTGAAATTCCCTGGGTTTATGCTTTTATTTACAGAACAACTAATTACATTATTTTTAAAAACCACAAACTTCTTCTCCTATTTGAATAAATAACAATAACGTTACAAAAAAAGGAAAGTCAATTCTTTCAACCACTCAAAATACTGATAAAGATAAATATAAAACCTGTTTCATGAACAACTGGGAGAAATATATTAAATAAAGACATATTTTCAGTCACAAATACTAGTTTTAATTTGACAATTCTTAGACAGCTTCACTCTCATATAAAAAAAATTAACCAGCTATACAAAATTTACTTGAAAATCATATCAAATGATTCAATGTGATATTAACACTAGATAATTCAATAATCAAGCCAATGTCAAACAGACCCCTGAACACTCACTCTGTTGCTTCCTACAGTTGCAAACACTAATGGATCTCCTTCTTTACTGTGCCAGTTAAATTGAACTCCAAACAATGGCTGGTTATGATCTTCCTATAAAATAATCATAAAATAAGAAAAATAAATATATCTTAGAAACCAAAGAATGGCAGTAAACTAAACTTGCCCCTTTTAACTTTTTTCCAAAATGCAATCTATTATTTTGTGTATCATATATAAGCTGACTTTTGACACTAAAAAGATATCTACTAGTCCAGTTTTTACATTTTAAATATCATGTATGATCAACTTTTACAACCATCAAATACTTAAACCACAGGTTAGGTAACGTCTACTTATCTATGAAAACATTTTGATATTTGCCTTTTATTATCTTAAACCCAACCATATTCTTCTGAATCATATTATTGTTTATACTAGTTTACGCTAAGCTAGTATAGTTTATACTAGATAATTTTGGTAGACATATTTAACCTCTTGGGCCATAAGGACACAATTTATTGTTCTGAAATAGGAAACTAGCAAATGGCCTTCAAGAGGTAATGTATCTCCTTTGGCATTTGCTAAATTTTATTAGGCTTAATTTTTCCCTTGTAAAGTGAAACGTAACAGAATCCACTTAAATCATTGCTTTCTATTAGTCCTGTTGAAACAACTTTAAATAATCCTGGATTTGGGTCTTAAAAGAAAAATATCCCAAGAGGTTTTATAATGAATACTGGGGGGCGAGGGTGGACTGTAACTTCACAGTTAATAAAGAGGCTATATATAAGGAGATACACAAAAAACAATTATTCACTTTTATTCACCAAGTTATTTTTCAGCTTTAGGATTTTACTAACAACCTGGCATTTAACACTAACTTTCATGTTCACTTTAAAGCACTGTTTTCACTTTTAAAGTGTAACAACTTTTATTTTATCATTTGAAAAACATCAGCTTTAGGCTTTTGAAATATTTAAATGGTAGTTTAAAACATCTTCCAGATATAGTACTTAAAAGTAATAGGTTAACCTAAGTAAATATTAACATTAAACTATAATGGATACTTTGCCTTCTTTTTTAATATGCTGAAATTAATTTCTCTCCTTTTATGGAGGTATAATGAGACACACTGAACACCAAATTTTTTGACACTAAGGAAAATGTCATATGGCCATAGCTTCTTATGCTTTCCCAAAACTTCAGCTAAGGGTATATTTAGATATTTAGAAAAGGTTTTAATTTACATATGTATGAGATAATGTAATGTACATTTTTTCTCAGAATAGGAAAAATAACCTCAAATTAAAAAAAACAGAAAGTGGATATATATATAAAAGAAAACATCTTTTTTTTTTTTCCTTTTTGTCTTTTTTCGTGTCCGGCAACGGATCGCAACCCTCAGTGTCGCGCCCGTACCGGACCGGGACCGGCAACGGGATCGCAACCCTCGGTGTTGCACCCGCTCCTCGCTCAGCCAGTGAGCGGGAACCAGTCTGTATGTGGGATCCGAACCCTCAGCGGGAGCGCCACCGCGCTCCCAAGTGGCGCACTACCGTGCCAGCCCAAAAGAAAACATCTTAATCAAACATCAGTAATACTTTTTGTATAGTAAATAAAAATACCGTTGAGGACACAGTAGTTTTTTTTTTTTTTCTTTGATGGCTGGTACAAGGATCAAACCCCAGACAACCTTGGTGTTAACAGCACACTACCGTGCCGGCCCAAAAGAAAACATCTTAATCAAACATCAGTAATACTTTTTGTATAGTAAATAAAAATACCGTTGAGGACACAGTAGTTTTGTTTTTTTTTTCTTTGATGGCTGGTACAAGGATCAAACCCCAGACAACCTTGGTGTTAACAGCACCACACTCTAACAAACTGAGCTAACCAGCCAGTCAAGGAAACAGTAATTTAAATAAACAACCCCTTGTTTTCCCCAAATATTGAATACAAAAGTTTTTAAAAGTTCATGTCTTTTTCTCTGAAAACAATTACAAATAAAACAAAGAACAAGTGTTAAAGTTTCAAAAACTGTACAAAATAAGACATCTGTTTCAATTTACAGTGACTCAAAGTTAATGAGTCCCATTCAGTTCTTTCTAATAACTGGTGCCAGAAGTGGCTTATGTTTTTTAAGTTTTACCAACATATAAAGAGTAACATTTCTCAAAATCTTTTACTTAATACAAAAAGTAAAACAAACCAGTCTGCAATATTCAGTGTTACACATTTAAATTAAAACAACAAAAGAGAACAACAACAACAAAAAAAAAAAAACATGGGATGGATTATAATAAATACACAGCCTGAATTACCAAAAAGAACTTCAAAACACTGTAACTTTAAATATTTTAAACTTGACAGAGTATCTTGAGTATAAAATGTGTACTGCTGAGAAATAATGCTGAAGCCTAGCACTCAACCCACAGGTTCTGTCTTCTTTGCACATACCTTGAGACTATTTACACATTTGAAAGAATATTTGCATTTCTTTGACTTCCATTTTCCCTTTCCCCAACTTTTCCTTCCAGGTGCATTTGGCGTATTTGTAGGTGTATCAGGGCGTTCAGTGTTTGTACCACTTTCTATACTGACAGCATCATCCTGTAAGCAGTAAATTGGGAAAAATTACATGAAATAGCAAAACTGTATTTAGCACCAAATGACTGTGTACTGGGATGATGCTAACTGAACTAAATGAAGATATTTCTGCAAAAAATGGAAAAATTTATTCTTGCTTCCAAATAAGGATAAAAAGTAAACTAGCTACGGACTAGAATTTTTGTAGATATTTTATATTACAGCAAAAGTGAAAAAAAAAATACTGATCAGAATGATAACAGAAAAGTAATCTTGTCTTTAAATAATAAGGTACTGGTCTGTGTCAGCCACTTTAATACACTGGATCATTTAATCTTCACAGCTCTTCACAGAAGGTATTATTAGATAAGGAAATGCTGTTAAGAAAGCCTAACTGGTCTCTTGCTGTAAGGGTTGCTGGCTGGTATTCAAACCCAAAGCTGTGACTCCTAAATCTGACTGATCTACATGTCTTCATAATTCATCTGGCTGTTGCTCAGTTTGGAGCGTGGGAGTGGGTGGCCATTTGAGGCAGGAACTTCCTACTTTAGATGTAGTTTAACAAGCATTTTCCTACTTTAGATGTTTTAAAAAACCTGCTATTCAAATTCTGCTTATTTATAACACAAACCATTAAGAATTTTTTAAGTCCTAAATATTTAGTGCTATTTACAAGTGAAATCTGCCTCATAGCTCTAAATTAATAGTAAGACTCATCTATTAACAACTACAGAAACTCCATAGTTAAAGTAAAATCCTTCCAAATACAGAAATGACTGCAGGAAACCTTGAAATTTCTCCTAATTTATACTTTATCTCCAGTCCAGAAGATATATTAATGGCCCTTTAATCTCAGAAGAGGATTTCACTGCCTCCTCTGATTATGGATTCCAATGTCTTCTTTGGAATAAAGAGATTTATTTAAACATATGACCTTAGGGCAGTAGTTACTAAATTCATTCCAGAGGAAGCCTTTTTTCCATGCAGTGCCTGCCTATTAACATCTGTTAGAACACAGTCTAGGAAACACTGCCTTAGGGGCTATTTCTAAATTATTGCTTCCTAAAGCTGGTTTTATGATATTACAGGAGGTTAAAAATTAACTAGAGTGTCAAAAGGCATATAAAAAAAAATCATATTAATTCACTTAAAAACAATATGGTATTATACAGTTCTTTGCGGTGTTCAAAACTTCAAATGGCTCTAAAATGAAATGCTTTTTAAAAAAACACACTATTCTGCAGTATACTAATTATCTAGACAAAATAGGAATAAAGTGAATACGCGGCACACAGCAGGTGCTCAAAAAAATTTTTTTAATGTAATTTAATGTAAATGTAATTAGTCTTTGTAGAAACAGAAAATGTAAAATTTTAAAGGTGGGTTCCTAGATTGAAATCCCAGTTTTTCTCTCTCCTTATTTCTCCCCATCTTTCAGTTGTATTTACATAGTCAAGATCGAGTGTAGAAAACAATTGTGTGTCTCAATGAAAAACTATGGCATTATTTATAGCACACCCTTCCAAATTTTCAGATTATAGCCCTCTTCATTGTCTTTGAGCTACCGTACAACTCTTTTTAGACAACTGACAGACACGCAAATTTTCTCTCCACAGTAGAGGTTCAAAATGTCTTCTATTCCACTCAATGGAAAAAAATGTTTCCATATGCAATTCATCTCTACATTCCTTTACTCCATATAAATTTGTATAATTTTGACTTTTCTGAGTCAACCAGTTATAAACATTTGCCTGGTTCCCTCGTGAGAGTAAAATAACATTTTTAACACGTGTTCACTTACCTTTTTTCCTAAAAAATTACCTTTTAGAGAAATAAAATAATTAAAACTCTTAGACATTTATACACCAGCTTCTTTACCTTCTGGCTAAACAATGAACTGTCAATAAAGAGGCCACACAAAACACTATCAATCAGAGGGCACACTACATATTCCACTCTGATCACTTAATTTACCTATCTCCTCCAAAGGCAAATCAAGACAGAATCAAATGGAAAGGTAATATAGTCACAAAATCAAATCGTTGCTGAGTATCTAATATGTGTACTGGCTGACTTTCACCCTAGCCCTTCCTCAAAATACAGGATGATACTGTACAACAGATGGGGTACTATTGCCTTTATTTGCCCAACAAAGAAATAGACACAGAAATAGTAATTTGTACCTAATCTTGCCACAGGTAACATAAGCAAAAGACAAGTCTCCAGATTCAGCCCTCTGATCTTAGTACCAAGGCAACGCATTAGTACTCTTCCAAAAGCTAACTACTCTGTAGTCATATAAGCTTAAAAAGACTGATCAAATGGCAGATAATATATACAATGAATTTAAAACAAGTCCTTTCAATTCTTTGACTCACTTAAACAGTAGCAACTGCTCAGGTTACTTTAATTCCAACTCAAAAACACATTCTTCCCCCACCTGCCTTTGCCCTTCTTTTGTCATTATTCAGCTCCCTCAAGAGTAAAACCACTGCCCTTGTCAGTTTTTTCTGAACTCACTTTTATACAGTGTTCCGTACTGCCTTCCCTAACCTACATCCTAGATCAGGGTCCTTGGATGGAATTCAGAGGGCCTGTTAAAAAAAAAAAATTGCATCTTAATTTTCACCACCTTTAACTGAAATTTAACACTTCCTTCTATTATAATATACGCAACATACATACTAATGTTACTGCAGTTGTGACTTTGTCACCAATAGAAATCAGGTATTTTTGTATCTTTGTACTTGCTGAAGATCTGGAAAATTTTTTTATGTCCATCACTACTATCAGACCCACTGCTACTTGCTACAGATCTTGTTACTTAAAGCACATATATTACTACATCTAGAAAATTTGTTTTTAAAATATTTTTATAACGTATTTTACAATTTTGTAATTTATTTTGCTTGTAACCTTATATACCTATATTTTGTGCATTTAAAAATGTCATTCTGAAAAGACTCCACAGGATTCATTAGGGCACTGAAAGCACTCTTCTAAGCCTGTTACTTATATTATCTTATTTAATCCTCACCAATACCCCCTGAGGTAAATACCATTATCTTCATTTTAAAAGTAAAAAACTGAGGCAACTAGTTCAACTACGTTGCTCATGGTCAAACAACCAGTTAGTAGAGTGGGGATTTTAACCTAATACCTGAATACAGCATCTGTGCTCTTTATTGCTAGTCTAATCTGCCTAGAGAAATTAAAGAAAAGGCAGAAATAAAATTAAAAGGCTCCAAGGACAGGCATGAAGAGGACCAAAAATTCTAGGCCATCATACACAGTGAGATTGGGGAGCACAAACAGCAAGAAAAAAAAAGATTTACAGTAACATTTAAGACCCAAGTCCAGGATCCCACAAACTAACAATCCCCAAAATACCTTTCTTCTCTCTGCAAAAAGAATCCTTTCTCTTCTCTTCAGTGAAAATCTCTGTCATGACACCATGCCACATATGTGCTTCGGTCAGTGTTTATGATGTAGAACTTAGGAATTGAATGTGTGAGATTTAACATTTATTCCTGAAACTAGCCAAATTCAGAAAATTAAGAACATAACACCACTCTTCTAAAACACTTAAAGGATTAAAAAAGACATTCAGAAGTTGTTGCCATATATCGGGAGAAAAGTGTTCACATTTTGGAGTAATATCTTTGAATGAATTGTCACGGCATTTCGCTGACGTTATTGGATATCTACTTATAACATAAAACTGAAAAGTTACTAATGTCAATTCGGTTACTGCTGCCGAGTCTCTTAAACACAGTTGGGTTAACTGTCGGGACTAGTTGATTACCATATCCATTCAGAGCTTTAAAAAAAATCTCATTCCAAAACGCCTCACAGTTGCCGAAGCCACGAGCCCACGCCTAGTACACCTGCCTTTACCACCGTTGCCTAAAGTCTTCCAGGTCGTCCCCTTTACCTTAAGTAACAACTTTCAAAGCTGAATCCATCCCCTCACATTTCTTCCTCAAAGGTTGTTCCCCCTCCAAGTTAGAAGCCGACCCTCTCAATTCTGCTACTCCTACAGAAAAGGCGACGCTAAGGCACACTCCGTCTCCACGGACAGGACAGGAGCAGACACAAAACCCCCTTTTAAAAAGTCACCCAAACCCATTAAGTAGAAAATCTATACTTTCCATCCTGAAGATTCTAAGGGGTCTAAGAGTGACACGGCCCCCAAACTCTTCTAAAAGAGTCCCTAACAAACTGCCCCCTCCCTCCAAATTTCTTAGAAAAATCTCTAACATGCCTTTTAAACTACTGGAATCTCAGATGTGCACTCTCCTCTAAATCTCCCCAAGGCCCCAAACACGCCCCATTCACACGCAGAAGTCCCAGAAGCAGACCTCTCAGACCCACAAAATCACTTAAACCACTCTCGGCCAAGTTTCTGCTTGCCCTTGGCCCCGGCTCAAAATCCGCACAGAGACAAGTTCGATTTTCTCCTGCACGCCCGCGTTTTCCTGAGTAGAGGGTGACACCTCTCCCTCCCCCCACAGCAGCCGCCCGCCCCCGCGTCTAGTTTTAAAAGAACTTAAAACTTCCACTCCAGAGTCCCCACGACTGCTCAGGGCTGCACTCACATTCTCATCTCCAGAGAGGTCCGGGTTGCTGTTCTCGTCGCTGCTCAGCTTCTGCTTCTTAGCTGCAGGCATGTCTATTCCCGCCGGCGCTGTCGGCACTTCCCTCTCGGACATATTCCTCCGCCTCCCTCCAGGTTCCTGCCGCCTCGGGCGGGGCCTCCGCCACACCGCCGTCAAGCAAGCCCGGCCGGAGCTTGCCGCAAAGCTGCCGCTGCCGCCGCCACCTCCCGCAACAGTCTCTCATATCAGCCAGAAGAGGAGATATGAACCCTTGACCTTGGTGTTACTACATCCTGCTCTATCCAACTGAACTAACTGGCCAGCCCCAAAGTTACTTTCCTTGTAAGGTGGGGACAAGAAGACAGAACAATAGAAAAATAAAATCAGGTTACTTCAGGCTATCTCTTTTGTGTAAGGATTAAAGCAGATCTCCTGACTTTGTAAGGTAGATCACAGCCTAAGTGACAGGGAACTTAGCAGGGGTGACTCCATTTTGATTTCTACTCTGTTCTTTTGGGACCTAGTGCAGGAACTTAGTCCAAAATAATGGCCTCCTATAATTTTTATATAATCAGTGGTAATCTCCATCTATGTATGAGAGTGTGAGACTTAAACGACGGACAAATTTTGGGTTTGTTATTTTTTTTTAATTTAAAAAAAATTTTTTGCATATCAGATACACTAAATTTTTAGGGGAAGACAACAAAATTGTTAATACTTCACCAACATATTTGTCTCTGTTACCATATCTGGGCTCCTGACAGGTGCAAAATATATTGCTGAGCCTTAGTAGATTTGTTAGATGGATCATTAAGCCGTGTAACTGAATGAGCAGCAGGAAAAGGAGAATGTTGACAAAAAACAAAGTACAGTCTCCCCTCCCCCCTTTTAATTTTTTGTTTTTTATCTGCGGTGGCTGGCCGGTAAGGAGATCAGAACCGTTGACTTTGGTGTTGTCAGCACCACCATCTATCGAGTGAGCTAACTGGTTAGCCTTCCTCCCTCCTTTTTAGAACGTAGTTGTGACTATTTATCTTTCTGGACCTTAGTGTCCTCATATGTAAAAATGAGGAGGTAGGAAGAGACCTAACATTTCCTGAGCACCTACTTGATACTCTATGTATTTTCTGTTTTAGACCTACTTACATCACTTAGTGGATAACCTCTCTAGTGTGCCCCATTCATAAAATTCTAGTACACTTGAATTACTTCCGTACGATGCCTTTACAGCAAGAATACCAGTTTCACTATAGGCAGATTGCAAGTTACTCTTGCTTTTGGAGATAAGGAGAGAACTCTCGGTTCAGAATGAGAAAAGCAAGGGTAGAATAAGAGGTTTTTGCAATGAAGACTTAGGAAAAGTGAGGAAGCTGGAAAAAATTGAAGTGCAGGTCTTAACAATAATAATTGCAGTTATTGTTGAACACGTCTAAACTGCCAGTCCTCAGTTGGTGAGAGAGGGATGAGACAAGGTTTTCACTGGCAGAGATGGACATACTCCCCTTTGTTGGGAAGGACGTTTGTCAAATATAACTCTACAAGTAGAGGATAATAACTAAAGCATTTCAAATCCAAATTACTCTGTGCATGTGGAATCAGTGGGAGCTGGGAAGTGGGAGTCGACCTCTAGTAATAAAATTAGAAAAGTGCTGAACAGTTGGACACATATGGGTAGAAAATGCCTTGCAGCATTCATGTTATCTGTAACAAAGCAAAAATATATTAAAGAGTCTTATTAAAACTTGGAGGGATTATTCTTTAAATTTTTCTGATAAATGGAAATTAGTTCCTATTCATTATTACTGTTAAAGAAAAAATTATTCTAAAACTTGTTAAAATGGCAAGAAAGCCCTCAATGAGGACTGTTTTGATAGGTTTCAAGACTATTGGAATATAACACAAAAGTCAAAGGTTCGGATCCTTGCACTGGCCAGCCGCAATAAATAAATAAATAAGATTATTGGAATAGGGGAGAGAGATAGGACTCAGCTTTGAATACAGGACTCAGCAAGGACAAGAGAGGACTTATAGAGTATGAGATAGGGTAGAAGGACTGAGACCAGGAGACAAAAGTGAAACCATCTTTAGGGCAACTGGAAATCACCTGTCTGATCATAACTTAAAAAAAAAAAAACAACCCGGTCAGACAAGGATCATGAGACTTAGCCCCTTTCCTCAAAGAATGAGGTACTGCTAAAAAGGGGCACTTTAATCATGCATAGGCATCCAGAACCTGAGGGTTCATTGTGTCGCTGGTCAACGTAAATAATGAACTGCTGAATAGAAATAGTATTTTTCTATATGGTTGAGTAACTCTTAAAGGACTATAAAAGCTTTCGCTTAAGGAATAATGGAGTCTTATCCTCATCTCAGAGGAGAGACAGCTTCTTTGTGGAGTAGCTTTCTCTTAATACATTTTTCTCTACTTTCACTATTTGACTTGCTCTTGAGTTCTTTCTTGCTTAAAGCCTTGACCCCTCTTTGGGGGTCTCGCCCTATCCACAGCAAATAGAGTTGGGGGCTCAGTGGTTGGAAAATCACTAAGAGGAGACATCAAGGAAAGGGGGATTCTTGCTAAAGACAGACAAGGGTGATCAGATCAAGGATGGGGGATTTATCTCTAAACCAACTCAGCAGAATTCTTGCTACAACAGAAGCAGGCAAGCTGAAGACAGGGCCCAAGGACAAAACCTACTCAAGAAGAAGGCTCAGAGGTACCTGATTAAAGTTTGGTTAAGGAGAGAGTCTTTGTCACTGATTTAAGATATGTAAAATATCACAGGTATTCTATATAGAGTACTACTTTTATAGTATTAATTTAATAAATATAAAAGTCTAATTACCTACTAAAAATCGTAAGTTTTTCAACACTGAATTCTCCTACTGTGAAGGATTTCAGGAACCATCAGAGTTGGGGTGGGGTCTTACCACCCATATTTTACAAATGAGGAAACCGAGGCTTGGGATGACTAAACAGTTTTCCCAAAGATACACAGCTTTTTAAGTGGCAGAGCTAGGGATTGTATTCAGTTGATTGGAAAACTAAAGCACTTTTACCTCAGGAGGAAGGACTTAGGCAGCTCTAGATTTACTCACAGAGCTTGGTCTTTAGACCCTACAATCTTTTTTGTATACTATCAAAGAACATCAAAAAGCGATCTCACTTGAGACATAAAGAGGCTATAACTGGAGAAACTTTGGGAAATCCAAAAAAGTCTGGAGTATAGTTAATAGTAATGTACACATTTCAGTTTCTTAATTTTGACCAATGTGCCATGGTAATGTAAGTTAATGAAGGAAACTGGATGCGGGTAATATAGGAATTCTCTATACTGTCTTTGCAACTTTTCTGTAAAATTATCCCAAAATAAAAAAACGTATTTTTTAAAAAAATCTATCTCATCTTAGTCTGTTGAGAACTCAATAAAAAATATCCCTGAGCCTTCAGGTAGGTGGTTGGTCGATCATTTGGCTACATAAAGAAAATTCACAGCTTCCCTTGGCATTGTCTTCTTGTATCCTGTAAGCATCATATCGGGAGATGAGTTTCAAAAGCTAAATTAAATCCTTTCTATTTCAATTGCAGTCTATTTCTCATTCATTCGACATTTTTGTCTCTTCTGCCTTTAAATAGCAGCTGTTCATCATCACTAATGCAATGTGTAATCATATGCTGCAGATCTAGTTTTCTATGAACAGAAGAATATCATATGGTTTCTTTGAACATTTTGAAGTCACTCAGGAAGAATTTACTGAATGCCATTTATGTGCAAAGCAGTATGGTAATTTGGGGGGGCAATAAAAGGGAAAATAAGACAGTTTCTACCTTCAAAAAGCCTAATATTCTTCCAGCATTTAAAAAAAAAATCTCACGTATTTAGCAAATATTACTGAGTACCCACTATGTGCCAGGCACTGTTCCAGATGCTGAGGAGATTTGATAATAAGCAAAACCAGACAGGTTCCTGCTGTTATAGAGCTTATTGTGTAGTGGGAGAAACAAACATTAACCAAATAATCACCAAATAAATGTAGAAATATAACCGTGGTAAGTGGTATGAAGGGGAACTACCAGGTTAGGGCTGCTGCTAGTCCACACGGAATCTTTGTGTTGTTCTTTAAAAGGCACCGCCATAGGGAGAAACAGCCCAGAGTGGGTACAACTTGGAAGGATATAATGCCTTTGATGAATTAAAATAATTTTTTTTAAAAAAATCCCTTCCAGGGCCGAGCCTGTGGCGCACTCGGGAGAGTGCAGCGCTGGGAGCGGCAGAAACAGCCCAGAGTGGGTACAACTTGGAAGGATATAATGCCTTTGATGAATTAAAATAATTTTTTTAAAAAAAATCCCTTCCAGGGCCGAGCCTGTGGCGCACTCGGGAGAGTGCAGCGCTGGGAGCGCAGCAGCGCTCCCGCCGCGGGTTCGGATCCTATATAGGGATGACGGATGCACTCACAGTGCTCACTGGCTGAGCGCGGTGCGGCCGGTCTCAAAAAGGACCAAAAAAAAAAAAATTCCCTTCCACCAAGTTGATACTGCCCTGTTCTACGCACAAGGCTTTGTAAGTGGAGCATGAACTGGATTTCAGCCCCAGTCATCCCCTCAGCTGGAAAACCTTGTTTAGATGGACAACCTGCACAAGTGTACGCAGCAGTCCTACAAAGGTTCTAGAGAGAGAGAGAGAGAGAGAGAGAGAGAGAGAGAGAGAGAGAGAGAGAGAGAGAGAAAAGTGAGACTTGGGAGGGTTTCCCGAAGGAACACACAGGAGAGTGAACGTCAAAGAAGAATGGGAGTAACCAGGTGAAAAAGGAGAAGGAGAAAGATTCTAGGATATGCCAAGGCTCTGGGGCAGGAACGGAGTGGGGGTCAACTGAAAGATCAATGTTTGTGAAGGACAGAAAAAGTGACAGGAATGTGGTAACAGATAAGGCTGCAAAAGAAGGTAAGGGGTCAGCCCATGAAGGACCTTGTAGACTAAGTGAAAATATATCTTCTGCAGATAAGACTTATACAGAAGGAATTAGAACAGCATTACTTCATTTTATTTTAAGGTTTTGTTTATATTTTATTTCTATGCTATGAAATGCACAGGTCTTAAGTATACAGTTGGAAGAGTTTTGACCAGGCATACACCCATGTAATCCACACTCCATCAAGATGTAGATGGAATTTTCCAACACTTCAGAAAGTGTTCTCTTGCCTCTTCCTAAATTTCTTGCCTCCT